GTCCGCCACGCTGCCTCAATGCGTGTTGACGAACTTCACATTTCTTCGAAATATATATTTTTTAATTTCTCAGACATGCAGACCCGAGTTCGATCCCCGCCGGTACCAATGAAATTGTTAATTGCAATTGTGCTGATTTACCACGTGCTCGGCGGTGAAGGAAAACATATTGAGGAAACCTGCACGTCTGAGAATATAATTATAATCGAATGTAAATCAAATTGACATAGGTAAGTACAGATAAAATTAGCGGAACATTAATAAAATTTTGAGATCGTTTTTTTTTTTTCAAAATTTTATTTATATATTCCTCTATTTTTGTCTGTGCTTATATCAATTTGATTTAATCCAAAGTACAAGCAGGGGTCAATGTAGCGTAGTAATTTAGAGCGCAGGTATAGCTATAGTCATACGAACGTCACAGGCCGCAGCTGACTGAGTCTATATAATAAAATAAAACTAGAATAAGCGCGCGTCACCGCGCATGCAAGTGTCGTCCTCCCGCACCGCACCGGGGGGGAAACATTATTCAGTGAGATGCACGATAATTCACATAAACACGCGCGCTAAAAAAATACGAAAAGGCCTTTGGAAGGAGGGGTTTTACGAAAAAACCACTGCATGAATCAATTACCAATAAAATTTATTGAATTCTTCGATAATTGAGCTGTGTCGGTACCGACTTTGTTTTGGAAATTTTACACTGCTTTTATTACTAATTTACGCCCAAAGTTGTGTTAAAATTGGCAATAAAAACGAATCTTTGGTAGCTCGTAACTTTTTACTGACTTTTTATTTTACTATTCTGTTTCGGTACAGACAAAATTAATAATGAGACAAAACGATATCATGTTTAACTTTGGATGTACACTGTCAAACAGCGGAGTAAAACCCCTCCGAAATTTCTATGGAAATAATGTCGACTAGAGTCACCTTAAAATACCTTATTGCACATCGTGCATATTTTCTTCAAAAATATTTTTTAAATTTAGGAAATGAATGCGTCTTAACCTTTTGACTATGTCGCTAAGACAAAAGATAAGATGTGACCATTTTACCTAAATATCTTTGGTTTTGAGTTACTAATCAATGAAAACATATTATACACCGTAAATAACATTAAACCCAAAATTACTGGGTAATAAATAACATACCCATTTATGATTTTAAACACTTATAAAATGTTTCGATAAAAAAACAATCATATTTAGCACGAACAGACAAGTGTGGTGTGCGAACTTTGTTTATATATGTGTAGGCCGCACAGAGACTATGTACATTCCAAACATCATTAAAACCAAAATAATTTGTCGATAACACATCTATTTATGATTTTGTTATGAATCAGAAGGACATTTTCAACGATAAGAGATATGAGATAAACTGCTGTCTTCATTATCCATTCCCATATTTCTGTTGTCATTTTGTTTCTGCCTCGGACAGCTTTACAAGTTTTACCTGAAAAAAGTTAATGAATATTATAAAGTGTCCATACTAAATAATAATTCTTATCATTATTTTATATATTTGACGACTCCGTGGCGCAGTGGCTTAGCAATGAGTGGCTGCGCTGGGGGTCGCGGGTTCGAATCCCGCACGGAACAAGTATTTGTATGGCCTACAAATAGTTGTTCCGGGTCTGGATGTTTGTCCTTATGCAATTTATGTTTGATATACATATACAAAATTGCCTCCACGATACAAGAGAAAATCTTAATATAGGAGTAACGTTTTTTAAGAAAAAAAAAGTAAAATCTAAACTTATTGCAATCTAAATAGCGTGTGAGGACTATCTTTATGTATGTATAAACACAATAAAGCCAAAAGAAATGTGACAATTTATGATATCGTTAGAAACCAGAAGAACATTTTCAACTAAAAGTGATAAGAGCCATGTAGTGGCGGCGAAGAAAATCCATTACCCCATATCGATGATGACGACGATGATGATAATGACGACGACGTTGATAATGATGATGATTCAGTATAGGGCAAATACAGTTCGCTAATCATGAGGTCTTCTGGGTTCGAATCCCGGGTCGGGCCAAAAAAATCAATTATTGAGTTTTTCTGTTAAGAAATTCTCAGTAGCTGCCTGGAGTCAGGAAGTTGGCTGTGTCTCACCCCCGTGCCTCGGAAAGCACGTAAAGTCGTTGGTCCTGCGACTGATCTCTCTCCGGTCGTGTCGGTTTACCGTCCCATCGGATTATGAGAGTGAGGGAATAGAGTGCACCTGTGCTTGCATGCGCACTTGGGCACTATAATCCTGTCCTGCGCCGACGGCTTGCCTCCGTTGAGGCAGGCCGCCGTGACCGACATTCGGTTTGGAGGACATTATTATTAATAGTTGTAGCACGAACGGGTCGGCTCGACCGGGAAAGGACCACGCTCTCACAGAATACCAGCGTCAAATAGTAGCTTAATGCTGCTGTGTTTCGTATGGTGAGTGTAGAGAACCGGAGACCCTTTTTACTGGAAACGAGGCATTCCATCTTAGTCCTCACGGGTGACAACGCATCTGCATTTTGATTCGTAATCGAGGAAAGATGTAGATGTCTATGGACCGCAGCAACTACTTACCATCAGGTGGACTGTGTGCTCGTTTGTCACCCTAACTTATATAAAAAAAAGATATATGAAGTATCAGCCGGAGAGGACACGTGAGTCTTGGTTAAAAAGAGCAAGGCCGGCTTCGCCGCCTCCAGAAGGTAGTGGACAGCGTTAAGGTTGGAATGAAGTCCCGCGAGCGGTATCCCTCCCCCCCCCAACATAGCTTAGCCTATCATATCTTTAGCCCCTTTACTATGATAAAATGTTTTCTTTTTTGTATGTAATACCAATAATAAACTAGACCATTTGTAGTGCCCAAAAGAATTGTCCGTTTAGTATAGTTGTTACTGTGTGTAAGATAATTCACTACCCCATATCATCCTACAGGTTTGGCAACAGTTGGAAACTGTACAGGCAATGGACATCACGATTTTTGTGTTGACCCTTCAGCCCCTAAGCGGTCGAATTCGACCGCGGCGCTATTCCATGAAAATTCAAGCGGTCGAATTCGACCGCGCACACCCACAGCACTTTAAACGATTAAAACTTATATTTAGAGACTACTTTTCTATGAAGAAGTTTGGCATTATAGAATCAATATGAAATTTTCTATCCTCTAGTGCAATATAAAATAGTTATGCTATGGATATTTATTTATAACCTACATTCATTTCATACGCCATTTACGCGTGAATGTTATTGTGTTGATTTTTGGATTTTACTAGTGTTTTATTAGTGCTTTGTTTTTATTATAAAATTGTAATGAAAGTTTTTGTGTGAATATAATTTATCTTTTTACGTTAATAATTTCGAGTAATATATATTAAAATAATTGTAATTTTCACGCTGCCGACATTCGCTTGGAATGCTTTGTTTTTGTTATCAAAATACAATAGTCTCTTTGTAATGAACTAAAACCTGACTTTTATATGGAGAATTTTGTATAAATTTTATGCCTAACTTCTTCATAGAAAAGTAGTCTCCAAATATAAGTTTTAATGGTTTTAAGTGCTGCGGGTGGGTGCCGCCACATGCGACCGTTCGGGATTTGCCGGGCGCATGCGACTGCATGAGAATTTTAATGGGACTGAGGGGTTAACTAAAAAATATAAAAAAGCAGTTGCCAACCCGTCCAAACCAGACGTGGAAATATAGCAAATACCTTATAAGAAGCAATTTATAGGAGAGGTCGATGTTCAGCAGTGGACTATGATAGGTGAAATGATGATGATGATGAATATAATAATGACAATGATACTTTGCAACTAAATTACTCCTTTTTGATTTTCGTTGTAACCTGACAAAGATAGATATTGTTCTTAATTTTTTTTCTAATCTCCTTGTAACTTCCGTTTCAGTTCAGTTTAACCTTCAGCTGTCCAAGTAACGATGCGTAGTATGCTCCTGTAATGGCTTTTTCTTTATGAAGATAATCGATTAAGATAACTTCATGATTATCTCAAAAAACAGTACCCCATCACATTCCCAGGCGAAAAAACAGTTTTTGCTTTTTTGGAGCCGGTTCCTCCTTTGTAATTCACTGTTTTGACTGTACTTTTGTTTAGGGCGTCTAACGGTGTATCCAAGTTTCATCTTCAGTAATTAATCGGCGCCAAAACTCGGATTTATTGCGCCTAAACTGCACCAACACATCATTGGAAATGTGCATTCGAACACGTTTTTGGTCTAACGTAAACAGACGCGGCACCCAACGCGCTGACAGCTTTCTCGTGCCTAAATCTTGATTAGAAATGTGACAAACACGTTCTTTGTACATTTTCATAGCCCCTCCTATCTCTCTCACTTTAATTTGGCGATAGTCTAGCACCATTTGGTAAACTTAAGCGTTGTTATCGTCAGTCGTTCCAGTTTTTGGACGTCCCGAACGTTCGTCATCTCCCAAGCTCTCCCGGCCACGTTTAAATTCAGCTGCCCTAAATTTCACTGCGGTAAATGATGGTGCAGTCTCCATACACAGAGTCCACCGACCTATCTTTGATTTGCGTAGGCGTACTGCCATTCAAAAACAAAAACTTTATGACAGCTTGATACGCAATTTTTTCCATTGTTTTCCATTCACATGTAAGTCAATGTGAATGTTTTGTGAAACGACTTTCAGATAACAAGCGTCCAAAATGGTCGAAATTTTGGTGCTAGTTGTCAAAAGATGCAAAACTAAATTCACGAGTTTCTATTGAGGGGTACTGCTATATTCACGTTGAGGTCGGAAACTTTTCAGACCACAGTATATATTTTTTATTGTTTAATTTCTTTTAGTTATAGTTATAATTAATTATATACTCCATGCAGGTATAAGTAATTAAGAAATATGCAACTGTTTCTCACCTTAATTTTCCGTAACATAACATGCACGTCATTTAATTCAGGCAGCAGTTTTGTGCCCCCAATAGTATTGCAGACCATGAAAAATGATATATATCCATGTCCACTTATCTCAATTGCTTCATCTGAAAATAAAATTTATAGGTACAGTAGTCTCACTAATCCGGCACTTTAAAAAACCAGGTGACGGATTATTGGAATGTTCGGATTACTGGATTGTATAGTGAATCTCAAGGTAAACAAATCTTCTTATACGGATAAGGTCGATGCTACTTTTGAAAAAGTGGAGCTAGTTCGGCATATGTAATTACGACATAGAATTAGAATTGAGGATCGACCACAAAAAAGTTTTGACCCATTTAGAAATGTCTGACTATACGTAAAAAGCTCGATATTTAGGTACCACACGAACTCATTGAAAGAAACGTAATGAAACCGATACATTTTTGAAAGGATTGATCCCTGGTGATGAGAATTCAAGAACCTGCGAAAAAGATCATGGTCAAAATGTAGTCCAGCAGTCAATAAGGCGATATTGTGTCTATGGTAGGATTGGAAGTGCATTTTTTATAATGAGCTTTTACCTCCGGGCAAAACCATCGAATCTATCTCTTGGTTGGGAAATTTTAATGCATCCACTATTTACTTCTGACCTTGTACCTTTAGATTTTTACCTGTTTTGTTCTCTTCAGAATTATTTGGGTGAGTGTTAGGTTAACATCAAGAGAGGGCTGTCAAAACTACTTGTCGCATTTTTTACCTACTAGATGGCAACAACTTATCGGAAAAAATTGCACATATAACATATTATAATTTAGTGTAATTGAACTTTGAAAAAACATATCTTTAATTTGTATATAAAATACGAAGACACTTTTTCCCGACCTTTTATGTAGTAATTAGGCGACATGTGTTTACTTATTATATGAACATGTATGTATGTATATACAAGTTTCTTTGTGACAATGTTAACTTACTTAACTAATTTACCTTAAAATCGTCCTTAATTAAGTCTGTCTTTCTTGTAGTTTTTGTTTAATAACTTTTTCTCGGAGGTTTCGAAGTACTATAATATCCTTGGCAGATACACCATTTTCTTCAGCCCACGTTATACAGGTATTGATACAATTGAACGCCGTATCTGGTTTTATTTTCGCAGCAGTAGATGGAGGCTCCAATATTACTACTGTAAGGCTTTCCTCTTTTTCTACCTCTTCACATATTTCTTCATCCGTCATTGTTTGCTCTGTTTCTTCAGATTTCCCTTCATTTAAATCAGCTTCGCTTATCTCGAGTCCCCTTTCTGAAAAAGAAAACATAGCATGCGTGAGCCAGCAAGAATACAACAGCCTTCACGTTCAATTCTTTGAAACTCAGCTTGATGTAACCGCCCTAAGAGATTATATGAAAGAGCAACTCATTTAATTTTATACAATGACTTTTCCTTTTGAATGACGTTGTGGTCCATCGACTGCTGTGCAGTTTGTAGTTAATAACATGTTTTGGATCTTTTTATCTCTCGATTTATGTTTTTGTTCATTTGGGTAGCCTGGAACTTGTCCAGTACTTCTTCTTCTATACTTTTGGGCCAAATTCTTAATAGAATCATTGACTAAACACTTCTCGTGTGACCCAACGTTTCCATTGATTCTTGAAGCAGGTTGGCAGACAATTTTATTATATAAGAAAGCTAAAGCTGAAGTATCCAAAGAACTTACAGCCTATCTGACGATGGTATGTGACCACTGCCGCTCGTGGAAACATGCAGCTTAATTCAAACAAAGAAAGTTGTTGTCACCTCTACGGACTGAGATGGAATGCCTCACAGTCTGGATTTATACTATTAGTATGTGAAAGATCAGTTGCATTATATCTACGAAGTGAGATTTTTTGTCAAAATAATATATTGTCCCCATATCAAATTCAAGCAAATTGATGGTTATTGAAGGAGTATTAATTTGTAATTTAACTGATGACCTTAAATGGCCATGTTAGACAATAATGCCATACTAGACAATAATTTTCAGGAGTTTGGTCAAGTCCGTCACACATAATTTAGTATCACATCCAATAGTTATGTCAAGTGTGCTAAAACAATTTATTACAAATCAAAATGCTGTTTTGTGTTTTTAGACATTGTAAACATTATGCTAAAAGTGCAAAAGCAAGAAAAATATATAATTTACATATATACACTAGATTTGTCTCTATAAAATATCATTGCGTGTAACACACAAACCATTTAGTCAAACTTAATCTACTTACATATGACTTACCTTCTCTCGAAATTTGTCGAGTGTCAACCTCCAGTTTTTCAACAATTTCAGAAGTAGATGAAATCTTGGGAACACCTATAAATAGAAATAACATATTAATTTAGCACTTGAAGTTGGGAATGTAGGTAACTCATTTACTTATTGCAATAATACATTTTGTTAGTTTATGTCAATTTGGAAATGGTATTGTACTACTAAGATATGTGAGTGTAATATGGTCACTATGTCCAGGTCAATTCAACACAATTTTGGGAGATTTTTAGAATTGATGTCTCAGATTTTCATGATTTTTTTAATGCAGCAATATATCATAGACTTACGAAAAAATGCCAAATATCAGTTAAGTACCACAATTATTTTTGAAGTTACTAATTTTTAAAGATTTAAAATTTCATGTAAAAAATTCATTTTTTGGCACCTTTGGATGCCTATAGACTGACAACCAATGATGATATAAAGCTGGGAGTGGTCTCATTTTAAAGCTGTTGAATGGGGCTTCAATATGATATGCCATAAAATAGGGTAAAAGTTTTAAAAGAATGAAAAATTTTAAATTAAATTCTGTATTTAGTTATTTAAGTGAGATTTATTATGTAGACACAATAAATTGAAGTATTTGAGTTGATAAATGAAGATAACTCCCTTTCAAAGGAAAGTTTGATGATCAAATTAATCCCAATTTATTCCATTATTCTGCGATGTTTCAGCGAGAATATTCTAAAAAGTGGCAATTTTAAAATTTTCAAAAATTTATAATATGGTTTATAATGTCTTAATCATCATCATTATCATTACAGCCCTTCATAAGTCCACTGCTGAACATAGGCCTTTTAATACATACAGCAAAATTGTATCACGGGATCTCAATGGGATCAAGAGATACAGGCCTTCAAAAACAAATGTTTTGAAAAATACCAGAATTAGTATTGTTTCTGAAAATTTTAAAAAGTTAATTGAATGAAATAAGCAGTGGGTATTACTTTTACATTTTTTTAATGCAGAAAGGTCACATGGACACCAATATTATAAGTAAATTTTCCCTCTACTTGTAGACCAATCAGCTTGAGTTTTCTTTTAAAGAGTGGTTTCCAAACATGGTACTATAAGTCACTGCGTTGTAACCTGCACACTGCATAGTAAAATTTGTAAATAAAAAATAAAATTTTACTAATTTGGTACATTATTTATAAAACATATTATATATTTCTGAAGCCCTGTATCTCTTGAACTCATTGAGATCCCATGATAGAATTTTGCTGTATGTATTAAGACATTATAAACTATATTTGATAATTTTTTTCCAATTTTTGAAATTGCCACTTAAATAAAATATTAATTTTAAAACTTTCATTTTTTTTAAGATATTAACCCTATCTTATGGCATATCATATTAAAAACACCATTTAGCAAATTTAAAATGAGAACACTCTCAGAATTATATCATCATTGGTTGTCAATCTATAGGCATCCAAATGAAATTTTTTCATAAAAATTTAAATCTTTAAAAATTAATAACTTCAAAAATAATTGTGGTACACATCTGATATTTGGTATTTTTTCGTAAGTCTATGATATATTGCTGCATTAAAAAATATGAAAATCTGAGAAATCAAGTCTGAATCAGTGTGTTGATTTGACATGGAATGACCCCCCATAACCATATAAAAATAAAACTAGGCGGACGACACAGACAGAAACACAAAGCCTTATACTATAACTAATATTTTAAGAAAAAAAAATGCAAAAAAGCTTAGGCAATAATTAGGAACACTTCAAAAAATTTACTTAAAAAAAACTAACTACACTACACAATACTAAAATCTACTAAAATATTTACTATAATGTCAACTGTCAAAATGACATTGATAAAGCAGCGCCCTTTTGACTGTTTAATATTTGATTGACTGATGAAGAGCTATTTTATCACACAGCCATCTATGTAAACAAGGCTGTAGTTTTTGATATATATGTAAATAACTCTTACATTCTAATATGTTCAGGTGAATCTGGGAGTTGCTGCCCATTGATTGAGAATATGTGTGGTCCACATGTTTTTGCTTTTGGATACAAGAGTGGTCAATGTCGAGATGAATGTGTTCTGAAAAATAAAACATTTTTTTATAAGCAGGTTCCACATGACATTATTAGCAAGACGTCATGGCATGTCTGGCCTGTATTACCTTAAAAAAAAGGAAAATTCAAAATATAAAAAGCTTACTATGTTCGACTGGTTTTAAAGGAACTATATCCTAAAGTATTAATCACTGTTGATGATAATAGAACTTGTTTTCTTGTTTAAACGTAACATGTATTAAAACAAGAGACAACAAATATTTTGGCAGTATCAAATGAAAAGAAGTGATATGTAACTAACAACTTTTGTATTTTTGTAGTTATGGGCACAACAAAACGATTCTTTGACATCTATCTCCTCCATAACCCATGGGCCAATTTACATAATTTTTTCGGCAATATTTGTAGCTCAACACATACAAGGTTTGTAAACAATAAAAATCTGAATTTGTCTAAAAGATATAAAAAAAGTTTTTGGTGTTTTTGAAAATTGAATTTAAAAATACTGTTTACTTTATGGAAAATAGTTATTTTTAAATGGATAAGATTTGTCAGTAGAGGTTTGTAAATTGTAAAGATTAAAAGATACATAAATTGTTGATGGGAAAATATGTGTAAAGCAATACCATGCGGTTTAGACTTTTACTCCGCTCCGTTTATGATGCTAGCAAAAGGTTTTACATTTGCATCTGCATCGGCCTTAGTTAATACGATAATGTGTATGGCATGTAAATGAAAACACTGTTGAGCAATTAAAAAAACTTTAGAGCATGCAAAATTACCAAATAACAAATTACTAAAAACTATGACCATGTGACCATACCAGAATACTTTGCTTCCTCTTTAATATACTATACAATTCAACAGTACTAACAGTACAGTAGTGGATTCCGATTTGTACATTCTCACAATGCCATTTGCATATTACATTTAAATACTCTCTCAAAACTCTATCCCTCTAGAAGTAAGTTTTGTTCTCGCTTTTTTATAGTATATAGTTTCTTACGAAATTGTACTCCTGCTGTAATTTTTTTTTGACGTTACCCCTACACTAGGATTTTCTCCTGTATCGTGAGGGCAGTTTACAAACATAAATTGCACAAGGACAAACATCCAGACCCGGAACAGTTATTTGTAGGCCATACAAATACTTGAGCCGTGCGGGATTCGAACCCGCAACCCCAGCGCAGCCACTCATAGCTAAGCCACTGCGCCACGATTCACAATGCTGAAACAGTGTCAGTGTTTAAAAGGCAAGTTAAAGAACAATATCTTTCATTTTTCCAATGATTTCATGCATGACTTGTACATATATGTATATGTTTTGTTTTGGGACTGTCTGGCATTGAACCTGCTGGACGAAATTTTAATATGAAATAAGCAGGGCCTTTGTACAAAGAGATGCAATCAGAAAATCAATGTTCTTATCGTTATGTATTTTCAAATATTTTCATTTGAAATTATGATTATTCAGTGAGGCCCACTGACTTCTTACATTATGAAGTCAGGGTGATACACATCAGAACAAAACATACAAATTATAATGTACATGAGATTATAAGAATATTAAATAAATGTTGGGATTACAAGCATGACCCTGTGAATTTTTTGATTTTTCATTCCTATAATTACAGACTGACTAGCTAATGTCACTATATATATATATATATATATATATATATATATACACATCCCGTAACTTATTGTACGTCCACTATGGCCAATTTTGCATATAATGTGGCGTCAACTGCTTACGACGTCCAATATACGGACGTCAAATAGGAGACTTAGCGCAATGTTCGCAAATTGTCATGCTGATCACAGAAATGTCAAAATCTAAAAAAATTGAACGTCATTTTTCTTCCAATCTTGCTGTACTGAATATTTACGTAGTTCTGCTAATTTTCGTTGCAAAAATAATAGCGCTGCGGTCGATTTGTGAATAATTTCACCTATGGCCGTATTTGACTTTCGCACAAAATTAGGAGATGCGACGTCACCGTTGCCAACGTGTTACTTGTATTTGGTGATATATGGCTATGACTGCCTCGTTGGTCTAGCGGTTGTAGTAGTGCGACTGCTGATCGTGAGGTGGTCCTGGGTTCGAATCCCGGGTCGGGCCAAAAAATCAATTATTGAGTTTTTCCGTCAAGAAATTATCAATAGCTGCCTGGAGTCAGGAAGTTGACGGTGTATCACCCCCTCCCTCGGAAAACACGTAAAGCCGTTGGTCCTGCGCCTGATCTCTTCTCCGGTCGTGTCGGTTTACCGTCCCATCGGATTATGAGAGTCAGGGAATAGAGAGTGCACCTGTGGTTGCGCATACACTTGGGCACTATAAGCCTGTCCTGCGCCGATGGCTAGTCTCCGTTGAGGCAGGCCGCCGTGATAGTAATTCGGTCTGCAGGACATTATTATATGTTTTTATACTGCGCTTGGTACTAGTAATTTTACTTTTAAACTTGTTTTCTTAACCTTACATTTACCTACACATAATATGGACATCCTAATATCCTAAAACTATCATACTGAATAATATTTGACACCCGTATTTTTGAATTTAGTTATATTTTTATAAATGTAGATGCAGACGTCGGCATATCGGTTTATTTCACGCCGCACTATATTTTAACATTTTACATTTGGTACTAATCTACCTAAAGAACTCTTGTTAGGTATTTCGTAAGCAACCCATAATTCTGTTTGAATATAAGTTACCTTCTGATTGAGTACCGGAAGATGGACTCAATTGTAGATTAAGCAACCCATAATTCTGTTTGAATATAAGTTACCTTCTGATTGAGTACAGGAAGATGGACTCAATTGTAGATATTGACAGGTTTCATAGAAGTTTGTTCTATCATATTATGACTAATAACCTAATATGGTCTGATGAAGAAACTCATTTCAATATAAGGTTTTACTGCATTGACTGCCAATAGGTTGTTAATTTCTACAATAGACCGTAGCATATTGTTGCTGACATAACTCCGAAAATATAATTTATTTACTTGATCGTGTTAAGTTTTGGTGCTTTCACAACATCTTAAGGATGAGTGCGACTATTGTACCTAATCTGTACGAAATTATTCTCTACTTAACTAGATTCATTTTTGTGAAAGGCTATTTTTGTTAAATTATGATATTATGTTTGGGTTTGCAGTAAGTTGAAATACAATTTAATTTTTCACACACGTTTTCTAAGCTTCTAAGCGTTTTATCATTTCTAGAACGAAACATTTTATAAAACACCAAAGTGACTATTTTACACCGCATGGCCCTACACTAAAATACTAGCGAAAAATGTCATTAAAGCAATGATCATTAATGTGTGTCTTATACACAAGGAATTAAAATATAAATATTTCATGGTTATATGGACGTCAAATATCGTGCGGTATTAAACTTTACCGATAATCTGACGTCCACATATAGAAATATAACAAAATTCAATAATATGGACGTCAAATATCGTTCAGTTCGAATGTTTTAGGATATTCGGACGTCCATATTATTATATGTAGCTAAATCTAAGGAAACGAAAACAAATTGGAAAGTAAAATTATCTACTAGCACTGAATACAGTATAAACCGACAAAAAATACCAAAATATGCCTTGAGTACTAAATAAATAATCAACATAAATAAATAGTAAAATGCAATAATCAACAACTTTGGACATCGGATATCGAAGAAGTGGACGTCAAATAAAACTTAGTGTGAATATTAATATTTTAGGATATTCTTACGTCCGTATTGGGTAAATACTCCGTTCAATGTCCATGTCAAGTACATTAATCAACTTACACAAGTTTATTTACCTAAGTTACTAAATATAACCAAAGAAACTTAAAGCAATCAAGCATAAGCGTGGAAAGTTCTCAATGTGCGTAGGTCACAATACGGACGCCAATTAGAGCACGATATGCATGTTTTTAGTAATATAGCGTCCAATATTTATAACAACAACACAAACAAATTGTATTTCAACTAACTGCAAAACCAAACATAATATCATAATTTAACAAAAATAGCCTTTCACAAAAATGAATCTAGTTAAGTAGAGAGTAATTTTGTACAGATTAGGTAAATAGTTCGCACTCATCCTTAAGATAGTGATCATAAAAAGTAAACTCGCAGTGAGAGCACCAAAACTCAATACGATCAAGTAAATAAATTATATTTTCGGAGTTATTCATGTCAGCAATAATACGCCACGGTCTATTGTATATTAAAAAATTCTCAACCCATTGGCAGTTAATGCAGTAAAACGTTATATTAAAATGAGTTTCTTCCCAAGGTCATATTAGGTTATTAGTCACAATATAAGAAAATGAACTTCTATTAAACCTGACAATATCTACAATTAGTACTTATTTACAATAGTAAAATAAATAATAATACAGTCAATCTATAATGTATCACGGCTGAGTAATCCTAGATATTTTTTCGTATTTAGTAAACGAATAACTAGTTGGTAAATTAATCATGATATATATCTGTTTTTTTTCGCCAGAGACAAAAATGATATTGCGTATTTTACGTAACTGCACATTCTGTGGATTTATTTCATTGTTTTGAATAATATACGAAACTTAAGTGACTAAAATTAAATCTAAGCTGAACCAGAATCATAAAAACTGCATTATTCATGCTAAACAAATCTAATAAAGATCTGTTATTTTTGTCTCCTGCGAAAATAACAGACTATAGGAATCTATCGAATACCTACATAAACAAGATATCACCTACTATAAATAATATGACAAAGCGGAATAACTAATAAGAGTGGCAACGTCGCACCATACAAAGGAATTGCGTTAAGCAGGAGAATGAATTAAAAACTACTTATATTACGGGGATTCTGGACAATTTGTAATATGGAAGGGAGTCCTTATTGGTTTCCCTCCGTCTGGCAATATACGATATATATATAAATTACGTGTCACATTGTTTGTCCGCGATGGACTCCTAAACTACTTAACTTAAATATATAAATACGGGGGCAATTAATTACACTATATAACAAGAAAATTTAAACAGAAAAGAACAATTTTCAGTCAAGTTATGTATGAATGTGTGTTTTTACTTCTGAATTTACGGCTCGGTTTAGTTAAGTAGCGATTTTTCGAGTTCCGTGTGTTTTATCTATCAAATTAAGGTGCAGATGACAGTTTCTACAGGGTACGGACCTTATTAACGTAAAAAGAGCAAGGGAAACGAAGATTTTAAAAATTCTATGAAAATACGATTATAAGAAAACGAATTATATGAAAATTAGTTACTTAACGGTGAAAATTTACTACGAAAACTATTGTAAATTACGGGGGGCAATTAATTACACTATATAACAAAAACATTTAACAGAAAAGACCAATTTTCAGTCAAGTTATGGATGAATTTGTGTTTTTATTTCTGAATTTATGGCTCGGTTTAGGTAAGTGGCAATTTTTCGAGTTCCGTGTGTTTTATCTACCAAATTTGAGTGTAGATGGAAGTTTCTACAGGATACGGACCTTATGTCTAAAAGGAGCGGAGAAATCGAATATTTTAAAAAGTATAAAAATTCTATGAAAATACGATTATAAGAAAACGAGTTATATGAAAATTAGTTATTTAACGGTGAAAATTTACTACGAAAACTATTGTAAAATACGATGGGCAATTAATTACACTGTATAACAACAAAATTTAAACAGAAAAGACCAATTTTCAGTCAAGTTATGGATGAATTTGTGTTTTTATTTCTGAATTTACGGCTCGGTTTAGGTAAGTAGCGATTTTTTGAGTGCCGTGTGTTTTATCTATCTTTAAGTGTTAAGATCAAATTAAAATTTCATCTATCAAATTTAAGTAGAAAGTAAGTATACAAGCAAGTATATAAGCAATATATAAGTAAGTATATAAGTAAGTATATTAGCAAGTATTTAAGCAAGTATATAAGCAATATATAAGTAAGTATATAAGTAAGAGTATTTACAACACGAATGTTTATATAATAGTAGATGTTCAAATTATAAAATTAAACCTGCTCGAGATACTACACTCATAAACATTGTTAAAAACAACATTCAGTTATATTTCTCCGACTATAACATTTAATTTTTGACTTATGTAACAACAGTGTAGGATTATTCCTAGAACCATCTTAAACGAAAACAAGAAAAACTCTGTAGTCTTGAAACATCATTACTGCAACATGCTCATGAACTAATGTCCAATAGATTACTGTATATATACTGGAGAGCAGATGCAATGAACACAAGGTACGACCATGATTAATCATTTCCTAGAATTGACTACAGGAATAATATCTGTCAACTGCCTACCCCACATGCTATTTACCTTGTGCATTGTGAGCCAGGGTTAGATATATAGCCTTTTTACTTGTTTCGTCTATGAAAAGATTCTCAGCATATGACATCCTAATGTCGTACTTCTTATTATTATAGTAAATTCCAGCAAACTTACTGGTATAGTAATAGAATATATATAATTAAGAATTTGTTAATATTATACTACCACCAGAGAATTTTCCAGACTGATACAACTTGGGACTTTCAAAAAATTTCTTTTTTGAAGGCTGGCAATGCATCTGTAATTCCCCTGGTAATGTGGTCTTTCATGGGCGGCGGTAGTCACTAACTATCAGATGAGCCACATATTTGTTCCCCCCCCCCCCACTCCTTAAAAAAATAAATAAATAGGTACCTCTTATGCGATTCACACGTGAACTTGTACCAGAAATTTGTGTAGAAAGTACATCTGGTATATGTGACGTGGGTTCAAGTTCTGTTTCTGCATGTAAACCTGTAATAGTAGTGAAAGTATATGAGTAACACATAACTTTCTATATTGGGCTTGTTTTATACATTGCTACATACCATATATTATAATTACATTAATGTCCTCGAGACCAAATTTTATAATGCCCAAGTGTATGTGCAAGCAATAGGTCATCTCATAATCTAATGGGACGGTATTTCCTCATGACCGGAAAAACAGAACACAGGACTAACAGCTTTACGTGCTTTCCAAGGCAAGGGGGTGAAACACAGCCAATTTATTATCTCCAGACTGATGCTGAGAATGTCTTGATAGATATACCCAAAAATGTACCCAAAGATATACCCAAATTGGAAAGTAATATGTAAGATTTCTTCATAAATGTTTATTTCATACAGTTCACAATAACATTTTATAATGCAGCTAGTTTTGTCATTTTCTATGGAGTTGTAATGAAATTTTTACTAATCCAACTTGTTAACTTGTGAATTCTATTTTGCTACGATAGTTTTAACTTCATTATATAATGCTACCATTGAGTATACATTCTATATTTAGAAAAACAGCAGTTTAGTTGGTAGAGGGGACACATGACTGATGAAAAATACTACTAAAGCTTAATATTTCACAAACAAACCCCTGAATCATAAAGATGTTCTTCCATATTCCCAATGGTTTTGAAAGATCTATCCAATGATACCATACACGATGGAATACATGAATAAAAAAAACGTCATTCATTTACCTGTATAGGAGGTACCCAAAATAAAAATGTTTTTAAGATTTTATTTTACAGTTTCGTAGGCGTGATTAATATCTATAATTAATCCAAAATACAAATTTGTAGCACCTAGGGTCTGAGTAAAACCGCGGTGGACAGACTTGGCAAAACTATAAGGGTTCCTTGTTGTGTATTACGGAACCCTAAAAATTCAAAATATAATTTTTTTAAAAATTGTCTTTAAGGTAATAGTGAATAAGCTTTTGTTATTGCTAAGCCAGTGTGCTTTACAATCTAGGGCTTTATAACCACTTACCACCGGGTGGGGTTGTTGTAGTCAAGCTGTACACTGACATATCTATAATAAGTAAAACTAAAAGATTGCTTGACCATCCTTACTTATATTACATCATGGAAGTGAGTTTCTTTAGGCTGCACTGCTAAAATAATAGCTAATAAACATAAAAGTGAGAATAAAAGAATAAAGACTTACCAAGGTTAAGACTGGGGTAAGCTGTTTTTGCAAGCCTTTTGGTACGAGGATAGAAAAAACGATCCTCAAAGTGCCGATCACATATGCGGTGGTTATTGTATATTTCACGATCGGTCTTATCTTTTAAATATGTTCCAGCTTTGCTCTTCCATAGCTGAAACCTTTCCATTGTAGGGTATTCCGGTTTAGGAAAGTAGTGCAAAATATCTGAAATGATAAAATACAGTGCAACCTTAACATACCTCAATATAACGACTTCCTTGATTTAACAAATTTATCATGATCCCTTTGAATTGTCCATAAGTCAATGTAAAATATACCTTTACATTGCGAACATATCTTGCGAATAACCTCTTTATAACGAATTCTCAACTATCAAGAAAAGTGTAAATACCTCTAATTAACGAATTTTGTCAACCCAAAACCTTTATATAAAGTTCCCACCTACGTATGACCCCTAACCTCATCCCATATCTATACTATAATCCCATAGTATGTGATTCATGTCGCGATTTTTTTACCTTTGTAAAAAATTTACGACCAACCTAACCTCAACATAACAAACTTAATTTCAACGAATTACTTGATATAACGAATATTAACTTGTTCCCTTCCGATTTGTTATATCGAGGTTGCAAGGCGAGAGAGGAAAACTGAATAAGGAGATAGGCAATAACTCACCTACCAAGCGTGGCAGCTATGGCAAATAGTACCTACGAGGCAATCTGTAAAGGCCTACCTATGCATAGCAGTGGACTTTTGATCATTACAGCCCATGCCCAAACCTTCAATTTCTTAGATATTAGCTGTTTACAAGTGAACAAAAACTGGAAATTACGCGAATATAAAAAGTTCTTACCAAATTGGTCACACTTAAAAACACATTGCTTTCGTGACATTTCGGTTACAGTCTATGAACAAAACTAAACTATGTCGCAGATTTATCAATTACAATGAAATAAAACACATAAACACACGAGAAACAGGAATAATGCTAAATAGATATTATCAATTCAAACTTTACTACCACTGGCCGCCATTAAATGCCACAGACTATAGTGTTCTGTGCACAGACTACTAAGAGGATACTATGCATTTACATTTAAATGCGTAGTAGGTTCCATAGATTACTGTATATATACTAGAGAGTAGGTTCTGTATATATTACTCTACTCTATGGTAGTAGGCATGACGATCTAAAATCGATTAATCGAAAAATAGATTCTTTGGAGTAAAATAATCGATTATTTAGATCGATTCGGAGCACTGCATAGATTCACTGAATCGATCCAAAAACCTCTCGAATCAGACTGATTCTTCTGATTCAAGAACTAGTGATAAAATACCCGAACTGGCTGGGGTTATATACCGCAGTTTTTTTAATTTTTTCTGTTGAGGGACGCAATAACAACCGCTCGTACTTGGTTGATGATTAGAACGCAATATATATTTGAATAAAAAAAGTTGTCATTTTATTTACATTTATACAATTTTAACTCTAATCTTACCTGTGGAATGTTGGTCTAACTTAATCTGTGCTGTGAACAAAGACTACCTACGTATACATACTACAATATAATATTATAGCTGTGAACCTGTTTGAACTGTGAACTTGTGAATTTACTTTATTTATTATCAAAAATATACATACTGTGAGCTGTAAGTATAGATAGAGTACTTTTTAAATACCTAGATACTGTAAATAAATATTATATTTTGAAGCTTTATAGTAAGGAAAGAACCAGTATTCTGTTCGTGTAGTATTCATTTCGATTTGATAAATAGTTAGTTTTTACAGATTTATCGAGAAATATACGTTGCAGTTTGCACTTTTGTTAATGTATTATTGTTGTTTTTACCCTAAAATGTCAAATTAAAGTGATACATGGAATTACTTTGTAAAAAAGGGATCGAGTGGAGTATATGCGT